CACGCGTTTACTTTATTTTGTCTCTGCAATCTGGAAAATGGATAACATCGAAGACGAGTTTCCGGTCGATGTTATATACAGGCGGCGCGCATCTGGCTAACGTAGTCGGCCTTTCAGAAATCAATGCACCGCAATAACCGAACGATGCACTCTGTGTGCTTCGTCGCATTGAGTCCCCGCATCAAAAAGCTATTACATACAATGAAAATAGATTTCAAAGGCCGACGACCATGTTCATGAGGCAGACAGGAAGAGAACGGACGACACCGGTATGGGAGGATCGGAAAGAGACAGCAGTCCATGCATGGACAAAGCTATCGGCCAGATGAACCGGAAGGGAGTGTAATGTCCCGTGACATTTTGTTTCACGTGCGTCAACGCCATTAAATCCCATGGAGATCACGAACATTTCATGAAATCTCTCTGCGTTTTACTAATGCTTCCCTCGAAACGACTCGGAATGATTTACGCGTGGGTGGGAGAGTAAAATTGTTCGACTCCCTCGTCGACAACTTACACGATGCACACTCCATCGATGTTGCTTCGTACTTTTCACCGTCGACATATACTCTGTTGATCTAATTATATTAATCTATTAGTCATTTGTTATTGTAAATTAAATATACAGGGTGTTCGGTAACTGGTGGTACAAGCGAAAACCTTGTTTTTATTCTATATTTTCGACTTATTTTTTTCATGTAGTTATAATCACCCCTTTTTCGCTTGTACCACTCTGTATACATATTATAGAGTTTAGAAGGCTACCTGACGTCCTCGAGCAGAAATAATTTCCAGAGAGCCGTAGTTGTGAAGTATTCTATTCTTTTCAGCCCTCTTCAGGTGTATCCTTGAATATAAATGTAAATATGTAAAATTAGTAACGAGATAGTAATAGAAACACATAAAGTGCAATTAAACGTGATTACTAATGGTATAGAAACTTAAAGGTATGGAAGAATATAAAGAATAGCTGCTGACTGCTACCCTCGATGATTAATTCGCAATAGAGCAGAGATCCCAGGGTTCGAATGTGGGGCGTCGAAGACCCCTGCTACCCCCTCCTGTGCAGCCATAAATCATGGAACGATTACATGTGTAAATAAACTGTTCCCCGCCCTTTATAACAGCTGCTCTTTCCGAAAATACCTCTTACGATCCGTTTACGTGTGAATCTGTACGCGTGAAGAATCGATAGAGAAACCGAGCGTATTGTCACCCAATGAGATACTTAAATTAACAATTTTTAATTCACTTACTCACAGGAGTACACAAAGTACTCCTTACTCCAGTTGCTCTACGAAATCAACAACTGTAGATTACACTTCCAAATAAATAAATTATATCCTTCAAATAAATCCTTGGAATTTCGTATTTAATAATAATTGAACTATCGCTTCGCTCGACAACTATTTCGATTTTCACGATACTGATAAAGACGTCGCAATAAAGAACTTTCCGAACGGTTCGTTCGAAACGTGCACATTTTCTCTGATACGTTATACGTACACCTAATGCGCGCCGCCGTCTATACAGATGGTGGTGCACAGTAGAATGAGTTTAATTTATGCATTTTGTTCGTACACGTAGCGCGCAATGTTGCGACCGATGGGATCGCGGAAGGTACGCGATCATATTTATATGTAAATGCAGATACGTACACGTGGAAAAAAAAAAGCGGAGAATCGATGACCCAGCGGGTCGAATCAAAACTTGCATCGTGATTACACACAGCGCAGCGCTAAGTGTGCACGCCGATAACATTGTTAATTTCGTTATAAATATTCACCAACGACAAATCATACTTCCATTTTCGGAGTATGCACTGCGCGACTGCATTCACCTTTAAGGCCAGAAAAAAGCAGACCAATGTTTGCCATTTCATTTCCACTGAACTGTTAAATTTTGTAATCAGAATTTTAATGGTTTGTAAATACATCTCGTGGCTTGTAAATAGTTGTTTGGACAAGCTTCTGTACTATAACATGAAATATAATATCAGTTCGCAGTTCAAAATCTACTCTGCATTCAACCAGTGAAGCTCTTTATGCTTTTCCAAATAATTATTTGAAACGTTTACGGGACATTAAGCAAAAATCAAGCATCTAAAGAGAAACATGAAGAGATATTTATACGCCATGTACCCTTTGCAATCGTATCTATTACATTCTCGTCGAATTTCATGCAACGATTTTTATTTATTCGAATGAATCGAGCTCCTCTTTCCGCCATTGTGTCGACGACAAACTGTTGGCTCAAAAAACAGCAGACTTCTAGGGCCAAGATGCATTGTAACAGAGGCAGCAGCCAGAACCGACCCCGCAGTTGTCCCGATTTTTTCGCCCTACAATAGAATTTCCTGGCTGACTGACGGCTCGGTCGCCGTCGATTCACAGAGCGATCACCCGTGAATTCCCCTGCTTCTTTACATCCCGCAATAACAACGCGAGTCGCAGATACCAGAGGCATAGATACATAGTAGAAATTAATTCTGTACCTTTCTAAAGTTAACTATACCATACGAGTTTCAATATTTCTTCAGTCACACATTCCAACAGAGCACATACAGTTGTAAAACATAATTTAAAAGCAATCTGTGTAATCCATTGCTATATGTATACATGTAATAATTGGCAGGTACCGTTGTAATCTGTTAGAAGTATAATAAGAAAAATTTGTGTGCTACTAAACTTCGTATACGTAGATAAGTTGTAATGCCCATCAAATTGAAACAGGGTGTATACAGTATGTATACAGGGTATCCCAGAATTAGTGTAAGAACCGGAAATGGGGAGTATCTGAGACGATTCTAAACACAATTTCATTTGCAAAAATGTCGGATGATGCTTCGTTGCACTAATTCTGGGACATCCTGTATAGATTCAACATCATAAAATGTCGAATAAATATTTTTACTTAAATTAGTTGCAAACGATTGAGTGTAAAGGCACAGTGTGCCTACGTGGACGTACGTACAGTACATGAGACAAAAAGAACAAATAAAGGATAAAAATAATACATTTCGAAATATCCGGTCTTTGATTCCAACCCCTTCTCCCGCGCCTCCGTCAGAGTGTCTTTATGCACCCTTGTATTTCACTCGTTCATCTCTCATAAGTCCTTCC